AATCAATATTTATCTCTATCTATCTAACAGCATTCCCTCCCCTTCCCTCCCACCCCTGGTAACCAACAAAGAAAATGTCCTCCAATATATACACCTTTCCTTATCAAGTTGATTCTTACACTTAGTGACCCTATATGACAGAGTAGAATTGCTCTGAAGGGTTTTCTGAGCTGTAATCTTTATGGGAACAGATCTCTGGACTTTTCTACCACAGAATAACTGTGGGTTAAACCTTAGACCTTTCAGTTAGCAGCCAAGCATTTAATCATTGCATCACAAGGGCTTCTTTCATTTATTTAGAGCTTCTTTAATTTCTTTTGGTGTCGATTTGTAGTTTTCAATATAGAAGTCTTGCATTTCTTCTATAATGTCAAGTTTTTATAAGTTTAACTATGCTGACCTACTAAAATCATACTCTGATATAACGAAGGCTAGGATTTTATTGCAGTCATGTTGTTACTAATTGTAGTATCTACATTTTTTTTTCAATCATTGTTTTTTCTTTAGAAACTTGACTCTGCAGACTCTTCACCTATTGTGACAGATGAGAAATGGAGAGAGAATTTGCTTTTGGGGGACAAACAGAATCTCCTTTCTGAAGTCAAGGATGAGCCTAGAGTTCAGGTAAAGCAAGATAAAAAGGAGATAGGGTAATGGAAATTAAATGAATTATAATATGGACTAGGGATTACCAGTAGTACTGTGTTGGTTTGAGATTATAGATATTGGTTCTGATAAGTTGGGTGAAGTTTATAGTTTCATATTTTATTCTAGTAATTTGTTTTACTGTCATACCCTTTTAAAATTATTTTATGAATCTCAGAAAGCCTAGAGTGTTGCTACTGCATGGCATTCTGTATATTTGGTGTTTATGTTCACTTTTAGAAAGTACAATTCAAAAAGCCATTAATTGATGTGACAGAAGAGGAAGAGCTAAATCAGTTACGTCTTCAGGATATTTTGCCAGAAGCCCAGGATTATCTTCCAGAAGCTAAAAGTGATCTGCCAGAAACCGAGGGTAATTTACCAGGGGTCCAGGGTGTTGAGCCAGATACCCAGGCTCTTGAGGTGGAAGTTCAGGCTGGTGAGCCAGAAACGCAAGCTAATGAGCCAGAAACTCAGGCTGGTGAGCTGAAGGCCCAGGCTGTTGAGACAGAAACTCAGGGTGTTTTGTTGGAAGCCCAGAACATTGAGCTGGAACGTGGGAGTATTGTGCTGGAAAGCCAGGATTTTCTATCCTCAAACCAAGATTTCCTACCCAAAGACCAGGATTTTTTACCCAAAGACCAGAATTTTCTCTCCAGAGACCACGATTTCCTACCCAGAAATGAAGATGTTCTACTCATAGACAAGAGTATTCTTTCCAAAGACCAGAATAATCTACCCAAATGTCAGGACCAGGATTTTCTACCCAAAGACCAGGTAAAATAAAGTGGAAAGGGAATAGAACAAGAAGAAATAAGCTCCTTAAGATTTGGAGGTGGGGTTTTCACTGGTATAATGCATTTGATTTGGAGATCCAGAGCTGGAAAACATAGTTTCCTGACTGATTTCTTGAAACTCCAGGGTTCTTGTAAATGTCAAATTACTATTGGTAGCGTATTGGACTATTCCAATATGCTAAATATTGGTAGCTATTTGGACAATTCACTTTTCTTTTTTTTAATCTTCTTCATTAGGAAACACACTTCAGGCAGCCATCACCTGCTTTGACAACTGAAAGATGGAAAAGGGAATGGCCCACAAGTGCCCAGCAGTGCCTTTTACCCATGTTCCAAGGCCAGACCTCCACCAGAGATCAGTTAGACCAAAGGGAAGAAGAAAAGAATAAACAAGAAGTAAATTACTTAGGGTTGTGAATGGGTTTAAGAGGATTATAGTGTAGTTAAACATGTGTAATATAGTTTTTTATTTTATTCCATAAGATTTTTAATTATACTCAAATCGCAGTTCCACAGTTTTCATTAAAGCCTAAAGTATTATTAGTTAGCTTATTATTCTGAACTGAACAATTGATATTTTGTATTTGTTCTCTTTTAGAAAGCAAACTTGAAACAGCCAGCATCAATTTTGTTAGGTAGGGGAGAGAGAGGTGTGTTTGCTCTGGATGTCCACCAGGATGTTCTACACAGGCATCAAGATCAGGCTTCCATCAGGTACAAGGTAGGACAGAAAAGGAGGAGCGAGATCAGCAGGGACTGAATTGTTTAGGGTTTAGTTTGGAACTTGTAAAGATTGCTCTCAGCTAAACTTCAGAGTGGACAAAAGGTATAGTTTTCTCTTTTATTTTGTAATATTTCATATTATCCTGAGTTTAAAAAATTACCCTAAGGCTCTCAACAAAATCTAACATATTATTGCTATTGTATTACTTTTACTAGATTTATAGTTTGTGTTTTCTCTCTTTTAGAAAGTACGCTTCAAAGAGCCATATTCTGATATAACAGATGAGAGAGGGAGAGAAGACTCTCATCTGACAGGTTATCAGTATAAGCCTCCTAAACTCCAAGACCAGAACTTCATCAGAGACCAGGTAGAATAGAACGAAAAAAAAAAAAGAAAGCAGGAAATACATTTTATACAACTAGTAATTTGAAGTGTAGAACCAGGGCCTTTGGAGTTAAACTAAGAATACAGTATCTTTTTATTCCACAATGTGAGAAAATGGTCCTGTTAGAATAGAGACCCAGCTTCAAGGATGGACATAGAGTATTAAACCCTAAACAGTTCATTTTCTGCCGATTTCTATCCTCTTTTTCTGTTGTGCCTTGCCTCTGATGGTGCAAATGGCCCCAGTCTCAACTATATCAATCAAATCAATTCTGTCATTCAGAAGGTTGATATACATCTTTATGTCTTATTCCAGAATGGGTTAGACTACTTTAATTTACCAAGGTTATTGCATACCCCTTGCTGAAGCACATAGTATTACCACTAGCATACTGTCCTGACATGAATAATGTAGGAAGAAGAAGCAGATCCTAAATTACTTAAGATTTGGGGAGTTTGTCACACTACTCTGTACATGGTTTGAAATTAAGAATTAAGGTCTACAGAGTTGGGCTAAGGGTATAACATCCTAGTGCAAAATATTTCACACTGCCCTTTCCTCATATAACTTTGTGGAGTTGTCACTGAAGACTTCAATATTGTCATTACCATAGTACCCTGATTAGACCATTTGTTTTGTGTTTCTATTTCTTTAGAACATGTTTCTTAAGCAACCCTTACCTTTTCTGAGAGAGGAAGGAGTGAGACAGGAATTGCCTCTGGAAAATCATCAGTATGTTACGCCCAAAATCCAGGATCAAGCCTCTCCTAGAGAACAGGTATAACCCAAAGCAGTGAGAAGAAGAGACAAAGACTAAATTGCTTAAGATGTGGAGAGTTTGTCAGGCTACTGTGTACATGATTTGGGATTAAGATTTAAGGTCTATAGAGTTGGACTAAGGATGTAACATCCTCATATATATAAAAATATTTTGTGTTTCTGTTGTTTCTTTAGAACATGTTTCTCAAGCTACCACCATCTTTTATGGGAGAGGAAAGAGTAAGACAGGAATTGCCTCAGGAGAATCATCAGTATGTTACGGCTAAAATCCGGGACCAAGACTCCCCTAGAGAACAGGTAGAGCATAATGCAGTGGGACGAAGTGACAAAGACCAAATTATTTAAGATTTGGGCTGGAGCTTGTCAAGCTAGTTTGTATGTGTACATAGAATTGAGGCTTCCAGCGTTAAGCTAAGAGTATAATGTCTTCAGTTATTTTAAAATGTGCCAGAATCCCCTGGGACTTATTTTAATATATTCCAGGAACAAAGTGAAATGAAAAAGCAAAATGTTCCTTATTATTGAAGATGGATGATGGGTATGGTGGGATTCATTATACTGTTTTTTCCTCTACTTTGATGTATATTTGGAAATTTTTGTATTTTACACACACTTCTGTTATAGTATCCTCACTTAATATCATTACTCTGAGGTTGCCACTAAAGTCTACAGTATTGTCACTAGCCCATCATTTCTGCTTAGACAGTTTTAGTTTTGTAGTTTGTTAGAATAAGTACACTGTTGGTGTTATGTGCCGTCGAGTCGGACCCGACTCATAGAGACCCCTCCTTGGGTTTCCGAGGCAGTATCACTATGGAAGTAGAGTGCCTCATCTTCCTTCTGAGGAGTGGCTGGTGGGTTTGAACCGCCAGCCTTCTGGTTAGCAGTCAAGCGCCTTAGGCACTATGCTACCAGAGTACACTGTTGTTAGGTCCTGTCAAATCAGTTCTGACTCGTAGAGACCCTGTGCACAAAAGAACAAAACACTGTCTAGTCCTGCACCATCCTTAGAATCATTGCTGTGTTTGAGACCATTGTTGCAGCCACTGTGTTTGGTCATCTTGTTTAAGGTCATCTTCGTTACTGACCTTTTACTTTACCAAGCATGATGTTCTTTTTCAGGCACTGGTCCCCACTGATAACATGTCCAAAGTATATGAGGTGAAGTCTCACCATCCTTGCTTCTAAGGAGCATTCTGTCTGTACTTCTTCCAAAACAGATTTGTTCATGCTTCTAGCAGTCCATAGTATTTTCAGTATGCTTCACCAGCACCATAATTCAAATGCACCAATTCTTCTACAGTCTTCCTTATTCATTGTCCAACTTTCACATGCTATGAGACAATTGAAAATACCATGGCTTGGGTCAGGCACACCTTAGTTGTCAAAGTGACATATTTGCTTTTTAACACTTTAAAGAGATCTTTTGCAGCAGATTTGCCCAGTGTAATTCATTGTTTGATTTCTTGACTGCTGCTTCCATGGGCATTGATTGTGGATCCAAATAAAAGGAAATCCTTGACAATTTCAGTCTTTTCTCTGTTTTTCATGATGTTGCTAGTTGTTCCAGTTGTGAGGATTTTTGTTTTCTTTATGTTGAAGTGTAATCCATACTGAAGACTGTAGTTTTTGATCTTCATCAGTAAGTGCTTCAAGTCTTCTTTGCTTTCAGTGAGCAAAATTGTGTCATCTGCATATTTCAGGTTAAAATAAGTTTTCCTGCAGTTCTGATGCTGCATTCTTCTGCATATAGTCCAGCTTCTTGGATTATTTACTCAGTATATAGATTGAATAAGTATAGTGAAAGGATACAACCCTGACATACACTTTTACTGATTTTAAACCATGCAGTGTCATCTTGTTCTGTTTAAATGACTGCCTCTTGGTCTATGTACAGGTTCCACATGAGCATGATTAAGTATTCTGGAACTCCCATTCTTTGCAGTGTTATCCATACTTTGTTATGATCCACACAAGTATACTAAGCCATCTTAATCTTTTCAGAAATGGGAGATGATTCTGAAAAGAATTGCTTGTGGAATACCATCAGTATGTTATACCCAATATTCAAGACTTGGCTTCTTCCAGAGAATAAGTAAAACAGAATATAGTGAGGAGTAAGTAGCAGAGAGTAAATTGCTTAGGTTTTGGTTCAAGATTAACAGAACAATGTAGTAACTGCTTTAAGGGTTTAGTGTTCAGTTTAATAATAGTGGGAAAAGAGTATAATGTCTTATTGTTCTGTTTTGCGCCACACTATTCTGACCTCTTGAAATGACTTCAGGCCTCTTTACTGAATAATTTGTGTATTGCTACGGATATTGTGCTTGTGCACAGACAATTTATGTTCAATATTTATGTCTTCTTTTAGCACAGGAACTATGGGCAGGCCTCCTGTGATACGATAGATAAGAGATTGAGAAAGGAGTTATTTCCGGAGCGCCATGAGTGTGTTTTACGTGAAATTCAGGATCCAGGCTCTGCCAGAAAGCAGGTATAGCAGAGTGTAGTAGAGTAAGAGGGAGAAAGTAAATTACATGGAATTTGGGCTAGGCTTGTCAGAGCTATGTTACTAACATTGATGATAATAATAGTGTTATCTCTTACTGTCAGTTGTAGTATTAATATTATTATTAATAATAGCTTAATGTTTTGAGCACTTACTATAGCTACATGGTATAGCCTTCTATGCATTATCTCATTTAATTCTCACGATAATGTTGGCAGATAAATGTTTTTATTATTTTATAGATGAAGAAACTTAAGAATGAAGAGTTAAGGTCCATAATATTGGCAAGAAATATAATGTCTATTTTTATGCCATGATGTATCAGACTATTCTGACATATTTGGTTTATCTCAAGGCTATCACTGAAGTATTATCATTGCCATTATATTACTGCTTATACAATTTAGTGAGTGCTTTTGTATTTTTTAGAGCTTATACTTAAGGCAGCAGTCATCTGTTGCAACAGCTGAAAGAGAGCAAAGAGATTTTCTTCTGGATGATCATCTTCATCTTCAGCCTAAGCACCACAAAGAGGTTTCCAGCAGAAAACAGGTAGAGCAGACCATAGAGAGTGATTGGTGGAGCTCAGACAGGATTATAGACAGGTTATAATTGGTTGAAGGTCCCTGGGAGGTGCAAATGGTTTGCACTTGACTACTAGCCTAAAATGGCAGTTTGAACCCACCCAGTGGTTGTGCAGAAGAAAAGCTATTCATATGCTTCTGTAAAGATTACAGCCAAGAAAACCTATGGAGCAGTTCTACTCTAATTCAAGGGTTTGCAATGAGTCAGAATTAACCTGATAGCAATGGGTTTTTTTTTTTTTTAAGACTGTCTGCACTATTCTAGTCCCTTAAGTTTCTATGTGAATTTTAGGATTACCTTGTCAATTTCTTTCTACAAAGAAACCAGCTGGAATTTTGAAGGATTGAACTTAATCTGTAGATCAGTTTGGGGAGTGTTGCCATCTTAATAATATTAAATCTTCTGATCCTTGAATAAGGAATGCCTTCACATTCATTTAGGTCTTATTTCTTTCAACATTGTTTTCTATAAAATTCAAAGTGTAAAATACATACTTATTTGTTAAATTTTTCCCTAAGTGTTCTTTTTGATGCTTGTAAATAGAATTTTTTCCTTAGTTTTTTTTTTGAGTGATCATTTTAAGTTTATAGAAATGCTACTGATTTTTGCATTTTGATCTTGTATCATGCCACCTTGCTGAAAAATAAGTAACTTTTAAAATAAAAGATGAAAATAATTTTAAATTTTTATTTCTCAAAGTAATTTTAAAGATCATAATTGAACCATATCATGTTCATGTAGGTGTACTGAGTTATATCATAAGACTTTCCTAATGACTGGAGGGGAGAAGAGGAGGAATTAGCCTCAGTTTCCTTCTTGCCATGTCAATTGATTGATATACTTTGAGACTCTTATTCTCCAACTGACCCTCATGAAGAGACTTGCATGAATTGAAAATGATTGTAGATTTGATATTTTAAGGGATCTGTCTTTATATCCTGTGTCCCTGTGCAGAATGATTTCAAGGGACCACTTAAAAGGATTTTAATTACAAACATTTTGATGTTTCACTTGTTTATCCATCTCTTTGACTTGAGTTCTTTTCTTTGTTTTATTGTTTGGTTATTTTATTCTTAAACGGTTTCATTATTTTTTGCTGTATTTGTGGGGTTATTTATTTATTTTTTTTTAAGTTTTCATCCAGTTGACTTCCAGGTTGCAGGAGAAGAGAATCAATAGACAGAAATTTCAAAGGACTGCTTTTGGTAATTTTGTAACTTTGTGTGCCTCACTTTCTAGCAGGTTTATGATACATACCAATCAGGACTAAGTACTGAATTCCAAGCTCCATTGATGCTTCAGTCTGGAGTAGATGAAGAAGAAGACAAGAGAGTGGTATGTAATGACACTGCTCTTGGACAACAATATTTCTACTATGATAGTATATGTGAAATTAGAAGCAATTTGTGTGTCTCAACACATTAAGAGGTAATATTACTCGTCCATAGATAAAAGTATAGTTGCTTGAGTCATTCTGTTGTTGGTTGTTGTTATGTGCCATCGAGTCGGACCCAACTCATAGCAACCCCTCCTTGGGTTTTCGAGGCAGTATCACTACGGAAGTAGATTGCCCCATCTTCCTTCCGAGGAGTGGCTGGTGGGTTTGAACCACCAGCCTTTTGGTTAGCAATCAGGTCATTCTAATATGTTGAATTTTTTTTCTTAGTCCTAGTATTTAGGGTACATTGATGTGAAATCTGAGATCTAATCCTAGTGAATTTCTCCAGTTGTGCCTGTTTGCCACAATAACTTATTTAAAAGAAGTGTTTTAATTTAGGGTTCTCTTGTTTTCTTTTCAATCTAAAGTTCTTTATCCTGGCCATGTACTAGAAATCAGATGTAGAGCTTTTTTCTAAATACGTATGTCTAGACCCAAACCAGATATACTGAATTAATACTTGTTAAGGTAGGTTTGGAGCACCTATTTTTTTTTTCTTTTCCCACAGCAAAAGAAGTTTCTTTATTGTGACATCAAAAAATGAAAGTAAATGGTGGGAAATTGGCTGCAAGCACTATGGGTATCAACAGAACAAAATCCAAAGAAGTACAATTTTTTGATACAATTTTAAAAGTGCTGATTTCATTATAAGGATATTTCAACATGCCCTTTACAATCACTGGAGCACATACCTATGAGTAAATTACTTACATGCTATGATTAAAGCAAAAGCGAACTAAAATTATGATTGAGTGTTACATATTTTTTTTCTAAACTATGCTCAGGGTTCTTGGGTATGTCATATGGTAGTTTCCTGGCAACCTCCAGGTCTTTTTTTTTTTTTAATGTGGACTCTGAAGGGTATTAGGTAGATCTGTAGATCTTTAATTTGCTTCCTGGTATACTGTCATTCAGTTTTGTTTTTGCTTTTACTGTGATAAAAACATACACAATAAGACATTTACCAACATCACAACTTCTGCATTTTACAGCACAGGGACATTGATGACATTTTTCATGTTGTGCCACCATTATTGGTATCCTTTTCCGAAATACTACAAACTCAATGCCTTGCAAACAAAACATTCCCCCTCCTTTCTACTGCTGGTAACCACTAGTAATCTTTGGGGTGTGTGTGTGTATATGTGTGTATATACACACATACACATACATACACATACATACATAGATGTATACATCTATATATGTATGTGTATATATGTATATGTGTATGCATATATAAGTATGTATATGTATATATGTATATGTATGCATATATGTTTGTGTGTGTATATATATATATGTATCTATATATCTGTATCTATATATATATGTATTTATTTATTTATTTTCCCCAACCTATCTAGGAATTTTTCCTCCCCTCCCCTCCCATCCCTGGTAACCAACAGAGAAAGTTTGCCTCTATGTATAAACCTTTCCTTGACTTTCTGCAATAGTGGACTAATACAGTATTTGTCCTTTTGTGATTGACTTATTTCACTCAGCATAATGTCCTCCAAGCTCATCCATGTTATGTGGTGTTTTGTAGATTCTACAATATTCTTTAGGGTTGCACAGTATTCCATTGTGTGTGTGTACCACAGTTTGGTTATCCATTGCTTGGTTGATGGGCACTTAGGTTGTTTCCATCATTTTGCTATTATGGATAGTGCTGCAGTAAACATGGGTTTGCATATATCTATTTATAGTGTCCTGGCTGTCACTTCTTCAGGATACATACCGAGTAATGGGATTGGTGGGTCAAATGGTATTTCTACTTCCAACTTTTTAAGGAATCACCAAACTGATTTCATCTGTGGTTGTGTCATTTTACAGTCCCACCACCAATGTATGAGAGTCCCAATCTCTCCATGTCCTTGCCAGCATTAATTATTTTCTGTCTTGTTGAACTTTGCTGTTAATGCTGGGGTGAGATGGTATCTCATTGTTATTTTGTTTACATCTCTCTCATAGCTAATGATTGTGAACATCTCTTTATGTATTTGTTGGCCGCCTGAATATCTTCTTTGGTGAAGTGTCTGTTATGTCTTCTGCCCATTTTTTAATTGGATTGCTTGTCTTTTTGATGTTGAGGTTTTGGAGTTTACTATAAATTTTAGAGATAAGTCCTTTGACAAATATGTAATTACTGAATATTTCTTCTCAATCTTTAGGTTCTCTTTTTACTCTTTTGGAAAAGTCATTTGATGAGCCTAAGAATTTAATTTTCAGGAGGTCCCAAGCATCTGGTTTATCTTCTACTGTTTGTGCAATTTGGGATATGCTCGATAGTCTATTTCTGCCATAAATTGGGGCTCTTATGTTTGCCCCTATTTTTTCTTTGATGAACATTTAAATCTTTGATCCATCTGGAGTTAGTTTTCGTATAAGGTGTAACGTATGGATCTTGTTTCATTTTTCTGCAAATGGATATCTAGTTTTGCCAGCACCATTTCTTAAAGCGACGATCTCTACCCATTTAATGGATTTCAACCCTGTGTCAAAGATCAGCTGACCATAGGTAGATGGTTCTATTTCTTTGTTCTCAGTTCTGTTCCACTGGTCTGTGTGTCTATCATTGTACCAATACCAGGCTGTTTTGACTACTGTGGCTGTATAGTAGGTTTTGAGGTCTAGAAGTGTGAGACCTCCTGCTTTGTTCTTCTTATTCAGTACTGTTTTGCTTATCCGAGGTCTCTTTCCTTTCCATATAAAGTTAGTGATTGGTTTTTCCATGTCTAAAGAATGTTGATGGAATCTGGATCAAGATTGCATTATTCAGTTATCTAGGTGGCTTGGGGTAGCATTAACATTTTCACAATGTTCAATCTTCCTATCCATGAACATGGTATGTTCTTCCATTTATGTAGATCTTTTATAGTTACTTGAAGTAGCTTTTTATAGTTTTCTTTGTAGAGGTCTTTTGTGTCTCTGGTAAGATTTATTCCCAAGTATTTTATCTTTTTGGTAGGTATTGTAAATGGTATTGATGTCCATATTTCCAGAGATGTCTTTGGTGATGTAGAGGAATCCAACTGAGTTTTGTATGTTGATCTTATATCCTGCCACTATGCTAAATCTTTCAAAAAGTTCCTGTAGGTCTCTTGCTGAGTCTCTTGGGTTTTCTATGTACAGGATCATATCAGTTGCAGTTTGGGATAGTTTGACTTCTTCCTTACCAATTTGGATGCCTTTGATTTCGCTTTCTTGCCTTATTGCCCTGTCTAGGACTTCCAATACAATGGTGAATAGAAGTGGCAATAGAGGGCAATCTTGTCTTGTTCCTGTTCACAAGGGGAATAATTTCAGTCTCTCTCCATTGAGAATAACATTGGCTGTTGATTTTGTATATATGCCTGTGGTGGTTAAGTTTGTGTGTCAGCCTGACTGGGCCTGGTTGAGTGGCAGGCCAGCTGAATGTAGTTATTCCCCATGGTGAGATTAGTAATTAACTCCATAGTGGAATCTATTGGAGTGGCTGAGTAGCTGCTGTGGGTATGTGGTCTGGTTCCTCTATATAAGAAACTTCAGGAATAGTCTCTAGCTTATGGCACTCTTGAATCCTGCATGTGGCTGTGTCATCATTGTTCAGCAGCCTGCCATGCTCTGCTGACCTTGGGACTATCAATAGACTTTAATTAATGGCCTGCCATGTGGTTCGGTAACATCGGAACTGTGCCTTTTTACTTGTCAGCCTTGGACTTGTCAGCGTCAGCAGACAGCAGCTGTCTGAGTGAAGAAAAGCCTCTAGCTTCAGTGAGCCAGGAGCAGGAGGCAGAGTTGAAGCCCAGGGTTGAGGGGCTTTCACCCAGTCCTTAGATCCTGGCACTTTGAACGTGGACTTAAAGCCTCCATACTGTAAGGAAATAAACTCCTGTTTGTTAAAGCCATCCCTTTTGTAGTATACTCTTGTCAGAGCAGTACTAGGTAACCAAAACAATGCCCTTTATTAATGTTGAGGAACTTCCCTTCTATTCCTGTTTTTCTGAGATTTTTTAAAATCAGGAATAGGTATTAATGTTGGGAGCTCTGGTAGCATAGTGGCTAAGGCACTTGACTACTAACCAGAAGGCTGGCGAGTCAAACCCACCAGCCACTCCTCAGATGGAAGATGGGGCAATCTACTTCCGTAGTGATACTGCCTCAGAAACCCAAGGAGGGGTCGCTATGAGTCGGGTCCGACTCGACGGCACATAACAACAGTAACAACAGGTGTTAATGTTATCAAACGCCTTTTCTGCATTAATTGATATAATCACCTGTTTCTTTTCCTTTATTTTATATATGTGATATATTACGTTAATTATTTTTCTAATGTTGAACCATCCTTGCATATCTGGTATCAATCCTACTTGGTCATGATGTATTTTTTGATATGTTATTGGAGTCTATTACCAAGGACTTCGTTGAAAATTTTTGCATCTATATTTATGAGTGATTGTGGTCTGTATTTTCCCTTTCTAGTGGTGTCTTTACTTGGTGTTGGGTTATGCTTGCTTCATGAAATGAATTTGGGAGGATTACATCCTTTTCTGTGTTCTGGAGTAGTTTCAGTAGGATTGGTTTCAGTTCTTTGAGTGACTGGTAGAATTCTCCAGTGAAAACATCTGGGCCAGGCCTTTTTTTTGTTGATGTTTTTTATGACCTATTCAGTTTCTTCTTATCTTAATGAGTCTGTACAACTTGTCCACCTCAGTCTGTATTAGTTTAGGGTAGGTAGTGTGTGTCTAGAAATCTGTCCATTTCTTCTAGGTTTTCAAATTTGTTGGAGTACATTTCTTCATAGTATCCTGATACTCTTTTTATTTCATTTGGTTCTGTTGTTATGGTACTTGTTTCATTTCTTAGTCATGTTATTTTCATCTTCTTGTTTTTTTTTTTTGGTTCAGTTTGCTAG